GACTGCAGCCACTACACTCAGCTCAGGGAGATAAAAGGTAAGAAGAATGTGCTTTACATGTGCTATCCCCTTGGATCTTCACAACACCCTTTGGAAATAAATACAAATAGACATGATTAACCCCATTTAATAGGTGAGGAACTCACATTCAAAGAAGTTAAGTGTTCAAAGCTGCACAGCTGAAGTGGCAGAGCCAAGATTCAAGTTCATGTCTACTTGACTGCAAAGGCTGCTTTTCATAAAATCACATTAACATCATGTTGGATACCTTCGATACAGACAATAATTTTTTTTTTTTTTTTTTTTTTGAGATGGAGTTTCACCCTTGTCACTCAGGTTGGAGTGCAGTGGCACGATCTCGGCTTACCGCAACCTCCATCTCCCAGTTTCAAGCAATTCTCCTGCCTCAGCCTCCTGAGTAGCTGGGACTACAGGCATGAGCCACTACACCGGCTAATTTTTGTATTTTTAGTAGAGACAGGGTTTCATCATGCTGGCCAGGCTAGTCTCAAACTCCTGACCTCAGGTGATCTGCCCGCCTCAGCCTCCCAAAGTGCTGGGATTACAGGCGTGAGCTACCACACCTGGCCAACATTTATTTTTTTAAAAAAAGTTTAACCACATTGCCTCCCATTATCCTACTATCCACCTAAAAAAGGGAATAATAACAATGGCAAAGTCAAGAAATGTAGCCTAGGGGCTAATAGAGCCCCAGAGTCCTTAGAGAAACTGGCCCATGTTGGCATTTCCCCACTCGAGGTCTCAGCCCCTGCCTCCAGTGGAAAATAGCAGAGGCGCCCACCTGGGACGGACTTGCCTTTATTATTCCTCTGGCCGTAGCTGCTACCAGGGAGACCCTCTTGTAGACATATCTTCTGGCCTGGCCCATGTTACCCTGTTAACCTAATGACACGTGTATCTCTCATTGCTGATTACAACTGCCAAGCTCCTGTTGATCATCCTGACAGGTAACAGGTGAACTCACACGCAGCTGCAATCAAGCACATGATGAGCACACACCCTGAGCTCATCTGCATCCCCCAGGAAATGCTGGGTTGCCTTGACCCCCTGGGAGGAACTGTGAAGGATCCCCATAGGCCAGAGCTTGGATGGCTGGACACTGAGTTTGAGACCCTCGTACAAAGAAAGGGAGATTAAAATGTGTTCTCTAAAGTCAAGGGACTTGTGCTTGTCAATTTCCCCTCTTCATCTGGTTTGGTTGCCCCATGTTGCTCTTAAACAGGTGGTTCAGGCAGGAAAAGAATTCAGCTCTTCCCTCCTCACCTCTATACTCCGCTTGGCCTGGCCCAGCTATAATTTCTGCTTATTCAAGACTCAGTAGTGTTGGTGCCGCCTCTGGCAAGCCTGCCCTGGCCCCTGAGACCTCTCCTCTGTGCTCAGAATAACCCCCATACATCACTGGATCCTGGTACTTGCCCAGCTGCATTATAATTATCTAAGTGTGGGTCTGTCTCCCATCCAGGCCGTGAGCTGAACTGAGGTGGGAACTGTGACCTATTTACTGTTATGTTTCCGGCTTAGCACCATGCCTGGCACAGAGTAAGTGGAATAAATATCTGGGCTAATGGAGTTGCTAAATTACCCGACTACGTGTTCTGACAGGTAGTTGGGAAGATAGGATCATCATAGTTCTAGTCTCTGCGCTGCCAACATTCACAAGCTCCTGGAAGACCTTAGAAGTCATCTAGCCCCATGCACAGGTTCCCACATCCTGAGGTCCCTGCACCAGGGTGGTCTGCCAGAACTACAAAGGCCAAGGGAACAACTTCTCAGGAAAGCCTTGGCCACAGGCTACTCTCATTTCTGAAGGCTCTGAGCCTATCTCACTGACCATGTAGAACAAATTGTTCATGACTCAACCTCATTATCTTCTACCTGGGGTATAGGAGCCCCAGCCTCCTCAGCTCTGCATCAGGTCACTGTTATCGCTCCCTTGTGGGCTTGCCATGTCACTTCCACAAGCAGCAGCAAAACTCACTTGCCAGAAAAAATGTCAGAAAAGCAATTAACATGAGTCTGGGAAGGAAGAAGGAAGCAACACATAAGAACAAAGGAGATGGCTCCTCCCTGCAAAGTCTCTGATTGCCTGCCAGGGAAGCCAGCTCCGGGAGACCTGGGGATTGGGCTTGAGCCATCAGCCTCTGCCCCTGGTGCTTTATGTCACAAGCACCAGCATCCCTTTAATCATGAGCAGGAAGCTTGACTGCTGTGGGAACCCAAAGGGACCACCTGAAGCCGGTGATGAGAGGGGCTGCAGTTCAGGAGAAAAGCAGAGTCTCCCCCACAGCCTGCTGAGGAATGCAGCTGCTCTGCAGCTGAACTTGGAGAGGTGAGAAAGAGAATAGGCATTTAGGAAATGAGAGGCGACCCAGTGTCTGAACCTTGAAGGTCATGGGGAGATACAAGAGACAGAGAATAGGCCGGGCGCAGTGGCTCACACCTGTAATCCCAGCACTTTGGGAGGCCTAGGTGGGTGGATCACGAGGTCAAGAGATTGAGACCATCCTGGCCAACACAGTGAAACCCCGTCTCTACTAAATATACAAAAATTAGCTGGACGTGGTGGCACATGCCTGTAATCCCAGCTACTCGGGAGGCTGAGGCAGGAGAATCCCTTAAACCCAGAAGGCAGAGCTTGCAGTGAGCTGAGATCGCACCACTGCACTCCAGCCTGGCGACAGAGCAAGACTCTGTTAAAAAAAAAAAAAAAGAACAAGGAGGGAGGGATAGACAAAGAGACACAAACACAAAAGGAGAGACGAAAGTCGACAACTTTAAAAAGAACTTTTAAACAGAAGAAGTTTTCACCGTCAGCGAGAGTGTGAGGGGCCTCCCTGAGAGTGGGGGAGGATTATGAAAGCATTACCAAAATGTTCTAGATCTCGCCCTGGAGACCACAAAGTCAGACCACATTTACATTCAGTTCCCAAACTGGGATCATCTAAGCTCTCACCAAGCTGTGGCAGCAGGTCCTGCAGCCTTCTCTGAGAGGCAGCATGGCCTCAGGGACTCAGGAGCCAGCCCCAAAGCGGAAGTCCCTCCGCTGCGGCCCCCACCTCAGGCGGCCACCGTGGCACTCATGAGCTCACCATCTGCAAGGTACGACTGCCCTCCACCACGGCTTTCACCACCACTGCCGCTCTGGCACCTAAGGAAGACCTGCCCTGACCCCCACTTCTCAGTCCTTGCTATGCGATCCATCCCACCCCAGTACCACACTTTTCCCATGGATTTCCTCGAGAACTGGAGGCGACAGAAGGAACCTGTGTGGGGCCTAGAGCAGCCTAAAGCCCCTGACCCACCTGCCTTGTACCTCAGGCCCACCAGCTTTACAGGGCCAGAGGTCAGTCATCTCCCACCATAGAAATAACTGACACCTTCGCGCCCCAGAGCCTGAATCCGAGGGAGATGTGGCTGCCCCCTAGCCTACGGCCCTGGGTCTTGAGGGATGATGCTGGGTTCCTGAGTGACCCTGTGGAATCAAGGAGCTCACCTACTCCCCAGAGGCTGCTAAATGAGGGAGAGAAATAATCCACAACATTTTTTAAACCACTGTATTCTTGGATGTTTTTCTTACAACAGCTTTGTTTTGCACCCTAACAAATAACAAGAGCAGGCAATTTCCTGGCAGGAGTCACATCTGATTTCCACTCACAAGAGAGCCAGCCCTCCAATCCTGGGGTTCCATATCTGAAGATTTTCTATCTGCAGATAGGAAAGATATTTCATATAGATAGAAAATATTCCAAAACAAACCAAAAATATAGAAAATATTCTATTTAGAATATTTTAGAAAATATTCTAAATATTTTAGAAATATTAGATAGAAAATATTCCAAAACAAACCAAAAATATATATAACAATAAGAAAACACAGGCCAGGCATGGTGGCTCATGCCTGTAATCCCAGCACTTTGGGAGGCTGAGGCAGGCGGATCGCCTGGGGTCGGGAGTTTGAGACCAGCCTGACCAACATAGAGAAATCCTGTCTCTACTAAAAATACAAAAATTAGTGGGCATGGTGGCGCATGCCTGTGATCCCAGCTACTCGGGAGGCTGAGGCAGGAGAATCACTTGAACCCGGGAGGCGGAGGTTGCGGTGAGCCAAGATCACACCATTGCTCTCCAGCCTGGGCAACAAAAGTGAAACTCCGTCTCAAAAATAAAATAAAATAAAATAAAATACAAATTAAAAACCCAATAAAAAAGCTAATTTACATAGCATTTACATTGCATCAGGTATTATAAGTGGTCTGGAGATTATTTAAAGTATATGAGAGAATTGCAGGGTATATGCAAATACCACACCATTTCATATCAGGGACTTGAGCGTCTGTGGATTTTGGTATCCACAGGCAGGGAGTATGTTCTGGAATCAATCCCCTGTGGACACTGAGGGATGACTATGATTATAATACCCTCTAAGAATCAACTTAAGATGAGGTGGTAGTTCCGAGCAGGTACTGGGCACTCCCAGGGAATAAGAAAGTGTTCTCAGGGCCTCCCTCCACATCACCTAGTAGAGATAAATGGGGCCTTTCTCTTTGTTCCAACAGCTTAATCACATCTTTCTTCCCACTTTTTGCATCCCCCTCCCCTGCCCTTCAAGGCACAACAGCAAATCCAATGAGGGACCAGCCCACACTCAACAGCTACACTAACCAGCTGAGTGACCTCGACAGCCGCTTCTCAATTGAGGGATGGACTAGATCTGTGACTTGCAATCCCAGCTGTGCATTAGAATCACCAAGGGACCTTTGAAATATTGAGATGCTGAGTCCCTCATCAGACCAACTAAAACCAAATTTCTGTGGAGCAGAGAACCTTTAACTTGGAAACTAAATCCAGTTCCCAGATTAATTTCATCAAATGGTGCTGTTCTGGTCACCATCCAGCCCATGCAGCCTTCGCTGGACTTTGTCTTATTTATAGCCCAACACCTAGGACAGTCACAAGTATCACACAGAGTAGATGCTCACTTTTCCTTCCAAGAGGTTGCTGTCATTGTGGATAAAATTCCATGTTTCCTGCATTTGATTTCAGAATACACGAATGGAACTTTTCTCTAAGAAAGAAAAAAAAAACAAAACTAAGTTTGGTCACTTTTTACTCCTGTGGGGTCTTCAAAAGACTTGTGTAGCAGAGAGAGCATAGGCTTTGGAGTCATTCAGACCGGGTGTGAATTCCAGCTCTGCTCCTCCTTCACTATGCGACTTGGGCAAGTGATATACTGGCTCCCCTTGTAACCAACGAGGTCACTTGAATTACAGGTGAATAGCATTTCCTCAAATATTGCAAGTATGCAATTTGTGCAGCCCAAAGCAGCAGCTGCGGCTGAACCTCTGAGCCTAGTTTTCTTAGCTGTAAAATGAAAGTAGTAACAGTTACAACACAGCTTTCATGCAAAAATATGAACAATGTAAGTAAAATAGTTAGCATAGCCCCTAGCAGATAAAAAATGCTCAAGAAATATTAATTTTCTCCCACTTTTACCCTCAAAGTTTTCTATATCCCCAAATCTATGCATCTGTGTCCTCTGAATGGAAGCATATGAGGAGCTCCTATTGAGTGGCCACGTGAGATCTCCGCAGGACACTCACAGAGGCAAGGCAGGCTGAGATGGACAGGGTGTGCAGCTTGATCCTGGTAAGGCAGCTACTAACAGCAGTGCAAGTTTTGCATTGCACAATTCTGTTGGGCTCCTTTCACATCATGGTCATCATAGGTTTTTCTGGTTACTACGGCAGTTTTCTAGAAGATGTCAGTGGCATGTCTGAAAGAAATGGTACCATTTTCTAAATTCAACCAAATTTGCCCTGTTGACCAGTTGCAGGCTGCCATCCCCACTCCCTAGCTCCTCTGCCTTAATACGACATTGGACCTCATCCCCCAACCAACCTGTCCACAAAGTAAGTCCTGATGACGTCCCTCTGAGGAGCACACAAGTCATTCTTTGTGCCTCTCCTTGAAACTGATGATACAATGAAAATAAGAAACAAAGCAGGACAAATGGAGAAGATGAATCCCACCACAAGATGTCCCGAAACTTCCATGCTGTGGGAGCTCCCAGCCCTCTTCAATGCAGACCAATCACCCAGCTCCCAGACAAGGGCTCCAGCTCACAGCTGCCACATGTGAGCTCCCAGGTGGGATAGCTCTATAGTGTGCTGCACCTACATCTCGCTTTAAAGGAAACCGCCTGCCCTCATCCCCTGCCACAGGTACTCCCCAGCAGGACACTTCTGTTTTATGGTACACCCTCCCCTGCCCAGCTAATTGCAACAGGAGGCAGACTCCCAAAGAGCTCATTCATTGGCTGGCTAGAGACTTTTGATGTGGCCCAGCACCTGAAAAGGGCGGAGGGTGTGTCAATTCGATTCCTATCTCAGAAAGCAAAACTGGAAAATGTCAAGAAAATCAATCCGTTGGTGGCGGGAGCCAAGGCTGAAATGTCATGGAGTGCAGCAAGTGGAGAGAGGCTAAAGGGACCACAATGAGTGAGGGGTGAGCCAAAGTTATGAATCAGCAGAAGCTGTGATGCACGAAAAAGGCAGGTGCAGAAAACAAGGCAAGGGAGCTGCCAGTGGCAAGTGGAGAATGGAGGACCTGCTCACAGAAGCCAGGTTGCCTTACTGGGGGAGAGCCAGAGCAAAGATCCAGGACTCCTGCTGGAGTGTAACCTCAGATCCAAATGCAGGCTCTGTGGACATTCTTACTCCCTTGTTGCTTCCTTCTCCTTCTAGCTACCTCCCCAACTTCACTTAAACTGGTGTGTAAAGGCATCTGCTTATTGCAACCTAAAGAACCCAGCCGGGCACAGTGGCTCACACCTATAATCTCAGCACTTTGGGAGGGTGAGGCAGGCAGATTGCTTGAGTTCAGGAGTTCGAGACCAGCCTGGGCAATATGGCGAAACCCCATCTCTACAAAAAATACAAAACAATTAGACAGATGTGGTGGCACATGCCTGTAGTCCCAGCTACTTGGGGAGCTGAGGTGGGAGGATAACTGGAGCCCAGGAGATCAACGCTGCAATGAGCCAAGATCATGACACTGCACTCCAGCCTGGATGGCAAACTGAGACCCTGTCTCAAAAAAAAAAAAAAAAAAAAACTCAATTCAACCATTAGCAAGTACAGGTGGGCAGAGAAAATCACACACACACAAAAAAAGTCAATCAATAAGGAAACCACCTAAAAGAAGAACAATTATTCTAAAGTTTCTGGTAATAATACTAATTAACATGTGTATAACCATTTGCAAATTTTGGCTTAGGATAATCATGAGAAATACAGAAACTAAATCTTAGTTCTGTCTCACCAGTCACCATTGCAGAATCAGTTCATTTAGTCAGAAGGCCAGAGGGGGGATTTTGCAATCTACACCTCACCCTGTCACATCTCAGTGGATCTTTTTGAGCTGAAAACATAAAAATTTTAAAAATTAAAAAAAAAAAATCCTTGAGAAGCGCGAGGGCTAGTGGGAGAAAAGCATCTTGAAATAGACGATCGTGGCCACTAGAGGGAGATGCTTCCTCGTAAAACATTTCACGGCCCGCTCCTTCCCGGGAGGATTCTCAGCTGAGACCAGAGAACGTGAAGGGACCTGCTCCCCTTCCTCCTCTTTTAGAGACGAGATGAGGCAGCATCCCCTCTGGAACCGAATGGGCTCTCCTCCGCCTTGGTGAAGACATGGTCGTGTTCTACAAAGTTCATGCATAACCCAGCGTTCCTGCGGACCAAGGCAACAGATATGGCCATCGTCTGGAGGGGCCGGTTGAAAGAAAGAGCCGGAAGAAGAAATGTCTAATGCTGCCCTCAAACAGCTGAGAGGATAAGGGGAAGGGCCACATTTGCTATGCGCAGCTTCAAATGGCGGAACTAGGGCCCATGGCTGAGAGCTACAAGGAGAAACCACTCAATACAAGAAGGGCTCCTGGGAAACACAGCTGACCAGTTATGGAGTGGATCCAGCTGACACTGACCATCTTTGGGTGTGGCATAGATGGATGACTATACTGTGTGGGGAGTTGGTCTCACCGCCCCTAAGACCCCCTCCATCTCTGAGAACCTGCAGGAAGAAGTCGCCTTGCGACCCCCACCCGCCCCGCCCACGCCGAGTGCTTCTTTGCCAGCCATCCTACCGCGAGCCACCAGGGGGCGCCGCTACTCTGGAAGACGCCTTACCACTGAGCTTTCAGAACCAATCCCTGAGCGCCAAGTGCCCACCCTCAACCAAAAGACCACCTGTTAGGGCGGGATAGCACAATGAATCTGGCTTGGTTGCACCCCCGCTATTCCAAACACATTTTAATAGTACATAAAGTATAAAAAGAGAAAACCAAAAGATATAGTTCCTGCCTAGTGCCGTGGCTCACACCTGTAATCCCAGTGCTTTGGGAAGCCAAGGTGGGAGGATTGCTTGAGGCCAGGAGTTTGAGATCAGCCTAGGCAACACAGCAAAGCCCTGTCTCTACAAAAAAAAAAAAAAAAAAAAAGCCAGGTGTGGTGGCAAGCACATGGAGTCCTAGCTATTTGGGAGACTGAGGAGGGAGGATTGCTTGAGCCCAAGAGTTCAAGGTTACAGTAAGCTATGATTATGCCAATGCACTCCAGCCTTGGGACAGAATGAGAACTTCTCTCTAAAATATATATATATATATTTATATAATATATATATCTTTTATATATATATATATATATTTGAGCTGAAAATGTGTATATCTCTTTGGATCAGAAAAGGAAGATAAACCCAAAGCGGTGAGCATGGCTGAAGCAGCAGGATGGCTGCCCAATGCTACCTGGGGTTACAAATTCCTGGGCAGCCGTGGGCCCAGGGAGGGGAAGGACAAAGCCTCCCTTCCAGGAACTGAACCAAGCCACCCACTGTGCTGTCTCCAGTATCTCCTGTCACTAGCCACCTTCATGAGGCGTTTCTAGACCTGGGGTTCAAAGGGACAGGAGGAAGCAACTGCAAAACCTCAGCTGAAGACAGATGCAGTTGAACAATCAGAAGAAAAAGAAGAAAAAATCCAAACGCCTCCCATTGCACATGAACCTGCAAATCCAAAATTACAAAACACAGGAAGAACCTCATGCTAAGCCTAGCAGCCAGCAGCACCAACACTCTGAACATGAATCAATCCAGACAAAATTAGTTTTCGGAAGTAGCGTGACATCATGCATACATCGAGGCTGAGAAGAGAAAGAAGCAGCATAATGCTGTCATCCACACAGGTGAATGTCCAAATAGCACATGCCCCTGGCCTGCTGGGCAGCACTCCTTGGGGTCCACTCACAGAGAGGACCAGGAACACGTGTGCAGGTCCCCATGACCCTTTTCTCCTAGGCTAGCACTGTACTGCCTGGGAGGGGAAAAGCAGCAAAAGTTGCTTTCTGGGAGAGTCAGGAAAGGACATTCTACTGGTGACACTGCTGGTTGGGGGCCTATCCAGGACTAAAGCAGCCCCTCTCTGGAGCCCTGTGTCCTCAAAGAGAGACTAGTAGATTGAAAAAGTACTGGTTCAAGGAATGTGAAACCTGCTATTAATTGATTTATTACTTTAGACAAGTCACTTTCCTTCCCCTAAGTTCAAGTCCTGAATATCCCTGTTAATTTTCTGTCTCTATTATCTGTCTAACACTGACAGTAGGGTGTTAAAATCTTCTACTATGAAGCAACTACATCAACAAGTTTACAAAATAACCAGCTAGCCTTACTATTATTGTGTGGGGGTCTAAGTCTTTGTAGGTCTTTAAAAACTTGTTTGATGAATCTGGGTACTTCTGTACTGAGTGCATATATATATTTAGATAGTTAGCTCTTCTTGTTGAATTGAACCCTTTACCATTATGTAATGCCCTTCTTTGTCTTTTTTATCTTTGTTGGTTTAAAGTCTGTTTTGCCAGAAACTAGGACTGCAACCCTTGCTTTTTTTCTACTTTCCATTTGCTTGGTAAATTTTCCTCCATCCCTTTATTTTGAGCCTAGGTGTGTCTTTGCATGTGAGATGGGTCTCTTGAATACAGCACACCAATGGGTCTTGACTCTTTATCCAGCTTGCCATTCTATGTCTTAATTGGGGCATTTAGCCCATATACATTTAAGGTTAATATTATTCTGTATGAATTTGATGCTGTCATCATGATGCCCGCTGGTTATTTTGTAGACTTGTTGATATAGTTCCTTCATAGTGTCATTGGTCTTTGTACTTCAGTGTGTTTTTGCAGAAGCTGTTAACAGTCTTTCCTTTCCATATTTAGCATTTCCTTCAGGAGCTCCTGCAAGGTAGGGCTGGTGGTGACAAGTTCCCTCAGTATTTGCTTGTTTGAAAAGAATTTTTTTCTTCTTCACTTATGAAGCTTAATTTGGCCAGATATGAAATTCTGGTTTGGAAATTATTTTCTTTAAGAGTGATGAATATTGGCCTTCAATCTCTTCTGGTTTCTAGGGTTTCCACTGAGAAGCCTGCTATTAGTCTGATGAGCTTCCCTTTGTAGGTGACCTGCTCTTTCCCTCTGGCTGCCCTTAACATTTTTTCCTTCATTCTGACCTTGGAGAATCCAAGGATATTGTGTTTTGGGGTTGGTCTTCTCATGGAGTATCTTACTGGGGTTCTCTGGATTTCCTAAATTTGAATGTTGGCCTGTTTTGTTAGGTTGGGGGAGTTTCCTGGATGATATATTAAAGTATATCATCTTGGTTCCATTCTCCAACTTGGTTCCATTCTCCTCATCTCTTTCAGGTACACCAATCAGTCATAGGTTCAGTCTTTTTATATAATCCCATAGTTCTGGGAGGTTTTGTTCATTCCTTTTCATTCTTTTTTCTCTATTTTTGTCTGCCTGTCTTATTTCAGCAAGATAGTCTTCAAGCTCTGAAATTCTTTTGTCTGCTTGATCTATTCAGTTATTGATACTTGTGGGTTCATTGGGAAGTTCTCAGGTTGTGTTTTCTAGCTCCATCGTGTCATTTATGTTCCCATCTAAACTGGTTATTCTGGTTACCAGCTCTTGTAATGTTTTATCATGGTTCTTAGCTTCTTTGCATTGGGTTAGAACATGCTCCTTTAGCTCAGCGAAGTTTGTTATTACTCACCTTCTGAAGCCTACTTCTGTCAATTCATCCATCCTCTGCCCAGTTCTGTGCCCTTGCTAGAGAGGTGTTCTGATCATTTGGAGGAGAAGAGGCACTCTGGCTTTTTGAGTTTTCAGTGTTTGTTTCACTGATTCTTTCTCATCTTCATGAGTTTGTCTAGCTTCAATCTTTGAGGCTGCCGATCTTTGAATGGGGTTTTTGTGGGGACTTTTTTGTTGATGCTGTTGTTGTTGCTTTCTGTTTGTTTTCCTTTTAACAGGCCTCTCTTCCATAGGGCTGCTGTGGTTTGCTGGAGGTCCACTCCAGACGCTATTTTCCTGGGTCCCTCCCACACCTATAGGTGTCACCCGAGGAGGCTGCAAAACAGCAAAGATGGCTGCCTGCTTCTTCCTCTGGGATCTCTGTCCCGGAGGGGCACTGATCTGATGCTGGTGGGAATGTTCCTTTATAAGGTGTCTGGCGACCCCTGCTGGGGGGTCTTGAGCAGTGAGGAAGGATGGGTCAGGGTCCAGCCTAAAGAGGCAGTCTGGCCACGATCTGCCACAACCCATGTGCTGTGCTGTGGGGAATTCCTCCTGGGTCAAAACCATCTAGTCTCCCCGGCACCAGCAGGGGAAAAATGGCAGACCCGAGCTGCAGTGATGGCCACCACCCCTCCCTGGGGGAGCTCAGTCATCTTAGGCAGCAGGCAGCTGCGGTGATAACGGCCTCCCCCACCCCTCTGGAAACTCTTAGCAGAGTTAACAGAACAGAGCTATTAACAGACCTGTGCAGAGTTAACAGAGCTGTGCAGACTCTCAGCAGCCACTTGGCTGGAGACTGCCTAAAACTGCAGTCATGTGGCTGCTGAGACTCTGCACAGCTCTGTGCTTGGGACCCAAGGCCCTGGTGGTGTAGCTCACAAGTGGGATCTCCTGATCTGTGTGTTGCGCAGATCCGTGGAAAAGAAAGAAAGAGAAAGAGAGAGAGAGAGAGAGAGAGAGATAAAGGAAGAAAGGAAGGGAAGGAAGGAAGGAAGGGAAGGAAGGAAACCAGCTCATCCACCATTTACTCCAAAAAGCATTCTTTCCCTTCCTTTGTACTCCTAAGGCTTACCTCTATCTTAGCATTTACCCATTAATTTGAAATTATCTGTTTATGAACCTGCCTCTCAACACTAACCAAAAGCTATTCAAATGGAGGGATCAGCCAGGCATGGTGGCTTATTCTGTAATTCCTTTGTGAGGCCCAGGTAGGAGGATTACTTGAGGCCGAGAGTTCAAGATCAGCCTGGACAACATAGCAAGACACCATCTCTGCAAAAAAATAAAAGTTTTAAAAAGGAGAAATCATAACTGGTCTTTGTGCCCCTGCTCTAAAGCTTACCACAATGCCTGCCACATACTGGGCCCTCAAAATAAATTATTGATTAATTTTCACAATGGGGCTACAAGGCAGGCATTACAAATGAAAAAAACTAACACCCAGAAAGCCAGTTACATACCAGGAGATGGGAGGGCAGCAACTTGAAACCAACTCTACTGCTAAGGCCTAGGCTCTCTCAAGTACAACCTGGAAGACATGAGTAAGCATGGAGGTGGAGATGAGAATGAGGTGTTGGGGCACCTGCCTGGGACATGATGCGTGAGGAATGGAGGGATATGAAGGTGGACAAGATTCTGGAGGGTGGAAGAGTATGGTCATGAGGCCTTGGCATTGTGGCTTCTAAGCAGAGCCCTGATAAGCTAAACTGCCTGGCAATGTCAGGCCGGGCAGGTTGGTCTGACGTTGCCAGTTTAGCTGCCCAGGCATGTCTGCTAGCTAAATCTAAATCCTGGGCCTGAGGCCCATGTCCCCACAAATACCCACAACTCTGCTGCACAACCATATTCAGAGTCCTGCACTTACTCAGCCTCTGCTTGCTGAGCAAGCAGACACTACCTCTCTTGAGTACAAGCCTCCAGGAAGTTCCTAATGCATATCAAGGCGGGAATATCCAAATTATATTAGAAGGCCAGGCACAGTGGCTCACATCTAGGATCCCAGCATTTTGGGAGGCTGAGGCAGGTGGATCACGTGGGACCAGGAGTTTGAGACCAGCCCGAGCAACATGAAAAAACTCTCTACAAAAAAAAAAAAAAAAAAAAAAATAGCCAGGCATGGCAGCATGCACCTGTAGTCCCGGCTACTCAGGAGGCTGAGGCAGGCGGATCAATTGAGCCCGGGAAGTTGAGGTTGCAGTGAGCCATGATGGCACCACTGCACTCTAGGGTGGGTAACAGAAGGAGACCCTCAAAACAAACAAAGCAAACAAACTAACACAGTATATTAGAAGATAAATAAATATGGACTTGTGTGGACAAGAGTGTCTGTGCACCTCAGCCTCTCCTGGGAGGTGCCTCTTCTCCCACCCACCTTCCAGGGGCCTTCCCCTACAAACCTAAACACAGAAGGCAGCCAATGAAAGGGACCAAGAGGCAGATTCATGAGATAAGCCAAGGAAATCCCAGGTCCAGGAGCCCATAGAATCAAGAGAATATTCTCAGACAGTAGCAAAACAGGAGGACTGTTCAACACAGCTAAATGCATGCAACAGAACATGGCCATCCCCTGCACGCCCTTCTCTGGAGCTCCTTAGACTAGAAGATGATTTCTTCTGGACAAGGAAGACACAGGACATGGGGTGAAAATAATTCCAGCAAAAGAAAGCTAAATACACCATCCCATGTTTGCAAAACACAGGAAAGGTAGCGAGGGGATGGAGAACCAAGGATAAAGGTAGGGTGCCCTTTTCTGGTAAACCGCATGCTAAACAAAGGTGAGGGGCCACAATTAGCCCATCAGCAGGGAACTCAGGGCAAGAATACCCTGCCCTCTGTTCTGTCCTCACCTGAAACTCTGGGACGAAGCCAACTTGTCACCTCCCTAAATGGTTCTAGAAACAGAAGAGTTCATCCCTTGCCCGGGGAAGGGATTTCTAGGTCTTCAGTTCTAATCATATTTGTTATGCACGAGTGGAGACATTCAGATACATGGCCCCCACCCTGTTTCTGCTCTGCAGACTGAGATAAGAGCCTTACGTTTACAAAATTTCACAAGAAACTGGAATTTGTTGCCCTTCTTTTCCATCTCCCCTCAGCCAGCTCCACTTTTCCTCGGATGTGACGGAGACTCGTTACCAGCTGGACAGCATACATCCCAGAGCTGGAGGGGAGCACGAGCGACCCTGACTCACCTGCCCTTGCTCAGGGAGGGAAGGAAACCTGTGAAACCTGGAAATCCCCTCTGGGGGAGGTGTGGCCAGCTCCTAGGCACCACCTCGGCAGAATTTCTCCAATCATAATAACAAGAAGGAAAACAAGCAGCTATCCAGTGCTTTCTCTCTGCCAGCCATCGTGCTCCACAAGTATTATGTCGTTAAAAGCTCCCAACAGCCTTATGAGCTGGGCACTGTCATTCTCCCCGCTTTGTGGATAAGGAAATAGAGCAGTCGCATAAATTGGTCTGGGATCACCCTTGGTTTCCCATTGGAGTGTAGGCTTCCTGAGGTTAGAAGTTGTTTTTATGGGCTGGGCGCGGTAGCTCACGCCTGTAATCCCAGCACTTTGGGAGGCTGAGGAGGGCGGATCACCTGAGGTCAGGAGTTCAAGACCATCCTGGCCAACATGGTGAAAACCCGTCTCTACTAAAAATACAAAAATTAGCCAGGTGTGGTGGCAGGCACCTATAATCCCAGCTACTCGGGAGGCTGAGGCAGGAGAATCGCTTGAACCCGGGAGGCAGAGGTTGCAGTGCCATTGCACTCCAGCCTGGGTGACAGAGTGAGACTCCCTCTTAAAAAAAAAAAAAGAAGAAGAGGAAGAAGTCGTTTATATGATGCTTTGGGAGTGATATCAAGCACATAAAATGCTGACTGACCAACTGAAAGATTCGAAGCACCATGGGTATTTAATAAATGTTATTATTGATCGCTATTCAAAAATCATTAATATGATTTTTCATGTCTCAGGAAGCAGTACCACAAATAATTCTGAAGTTACTGTATCAATAACAAATTATGTAAGTGACAAAATTGCATTTGTTCACAAGGCTAGACATTGAGCCTATTTGTTTTCAGGAGTGTGGACCTTATTTGTTTTTGTTGATAAGAAAGATAAGCTGCTCTGGTATAAGTAACGATATTTAATTGCTATTACATAGTATCAAATCAGTACAAAAGGAAAAAATCACAGGTCACGAGATATATGGCAGAAGTTAGAAGAATGTAAGGGAATTAAATGAATTAAAGGCTGCTTCTGTGACTCAATTAATTGAATGATATTGAAAAGAGAAGGTAGAAAGCTGGATTCAGGGCTGATTTTCAGGAACCTGGTTGTAAATAATTAGGCCATCCCTTGGATGTATACACGACACCAACACCTCACAGCCTCCACAGGAGCAGGGTTCATCTCCTCCTCCCAGTACCTGCAACAACAGAACCAACACAGAGACACAAGCAAGCATTTCCGCAATCACAAACCCCACCTTTCTCTTATCATGCTGTTCTACCTTTCTTTTCCCTATATCCTTCACTTCTTACATTTTAAATCTTGTTTTTCTGTAAGCTGCTTCAAATCCTACCTGAATAAGGCAGGGTATCAGAAAATCAATACACTCTTCAGGAACTTAACCAAAGGGAATTTCCTGTGAGCAGCACATGGCCTTGACTTTGCGCCTGGAAAGGTGTCCTCATCACATCATTGTCAGACCACCACAGGAACCCACAGCTCATCCTGCCTCTTCCAATTCATGTCTCACTCATTAAACCGTCCTGTTTGTTTGTTTGTCTGTTTTCTACTGAATCCTCTGGTTAAACAGCAGGAGCAGTGCAGTCAAATGTCTTGATAAAATGTCACAGCTTTCCGTGAAATTTCTAAGTGTAGCTATGCAGCATGGAGGAAAAGCCACTCGGTTTCTAGTTACTGACCTGGGCGGACTTGGTTTTCTTCCGGGTTCCCGCAGTGGGTTTCCTCTCGAGCAGTGAGTTCTTGCCTCTCAAAGGAAGAAGCCACACTGGCCATGTAAAGAGAGTGTCCAAACCTTCCTCTTCCGTACCTGGAGAGACTTCCCAGTTCCTCTTCTGTTTGGGGACTGGGAAGCTCTGAGTCCCAACTTCTCTTGTCTGATTTCACTTTCTCACCCACCAACCCCTGCTCTCACTCAACCACGAAGTGCCCTCAACACTGATCTCTGCCTAAGAATGACTGAAATCGATGTCCAATTTTGGGGGGATGACTGATTCTAATGTTGGGAAGAGGAGCTTAAAAGATCCGACCTCCCACTCAGTGAGAAAGGGGTCCCTGAACACCTTTCTTGAGACATAACCTCCCTAATCCCACTTAAATGCGAGCAATTCCTGCTTTTTGCCACAGCGAGGCAAGGCATTTCTGGAAGTTATGCTGCAGAGTAAATCTTTTTAGAGCTCCGGTTTCAAGACTTTGGGTTTTAGGCACCTAGATAGGTGTCAAGTTTTCATTTTGTTAAATAAGGATATTTAAAAAATAAATAGGTGCCCCCTTCTTTGCGGTCACACCGAGCCAGCGCCTAGGCCTGGAACTGGGCCACAGCACCTTAGCTTCTTCATCCACCGCCTCCCAACCATGGACCCCTGGAAAGTGAATGCACTTCAGGCTTTTGTGAAAATGTGTAAGCAGGATCCGAGCATTCTGCACACCGAGGAAATGTACTTCCTGAGGGAGTGGGTGGAGAGCATGGGGGGTAAACTACCACCTGCTACTCAGAAAGTTAAATCAGAAGAAAATACCAAGGAAGAAAAACCTGATAAGAAGAAGGTGGAGGAAGACTTAAAGGCAGACGAACCATCACGTGAGAAAAGTAATCTATAAATTGATAATGAAGCTGTGATTGAACCAGACCCTGATGCCCCTCAAGAAATGGGAGATGAAAATGCAGAGATAATGGAAGAGATGATGGATCAGGCAAACGATAAGAAAGTGACTGCTATTGAAGCCCTAAATGATGGTGAGCTACAGAAAGCCATTGACTTATTCACAGATGCCATCAAGCTGAATCCTCAGTTGGCCATTTGGCATGCCAAGAGGGCCAGTGTCTTCGTCAACTTACAGAAGCCAAATGCTGCCATCCGAGACTGTGACAGAGTCATTGAAATAAATCCTGATTCAGCTCAGCCTTACAAGTGGCGAGGGAAAGCACACAGACCTCTAGGCCACTGGGAAGAAGCAGTACATGATCTTGCCCTTGCCTGTAAATTGGATTATGACGAAGATGCTAGTATAATGCTGGAAGAAGTTCAGCCTAGGGCATAGACATTGCAGAACATGGGAGAAAGTATGAGCAAAAACGTGAAGAGCGAGAGATCAAAGAAAGAATAGAAAGAGTTAAGAAGGCTCGAGAAGAGCATGAGAGAGCCCAGAGGGAGGAAGAAGCCAGACGACAGTCGGGAATTCAGTATGGCTCTTCTCCAGGTGGACTTCCTGAGGGAATGCTTGGAATGGGAGGGGGCATGCCTGGGATGGCCGGAATCCCTGGACTCAATGAAATTCTTAGTGATCCAGAGGTTCTTGCAGCCATGCAGGATCCAGAAGTTACGGTGGCCTCTTCCAGGATGTGGCTCAGAACCCAGCAAATATGTCACAATACCAGAGCAACCCAAAGGTTATGAATCTTATCAGTAAATTGTCAGCCAAATTTGGAGGTCAAGCGTAATGTCCTTCTGATAAATAAAGACCTTGCTGAAGGAAAAGCAACCTAGATCACGTTATGGATGTCGCAATAATACAAACCAGTGTACCTCTGATCTTCTCATCAAGAGAGCTGGGGTGTTTTGAAGATAATCCATATCCCTCTCCCCCAAATGCAGCTGAAGCATTTACCGTGGTTTGCCATTCATTCAGATAATGTTTTCCTACTAGGAATTACAAACTTTAAACCGTTTTTAAACCTTAAAAATATTTAAAACAAATTTAAAGGGACTGTTAATTCTTATATTTTTCTTTATTAATCATTTTGGATTTTTTCTTTCAATTATTGGGCAGGGAAGATACTTATGTATGGAAGATTATTGCTCTAATTTGAGTGAAATAAAAGTTTATTAGTGCAAGGCAAACATAAAAAAATAAATAAATAGGTGAAGGAAGGGAAAATCTACCATCTATAATCTACAATGATCATAGTTTCAAAAAAGAAAGAACAACAAAACATCATAAAGCTATAATGTCAAAATAAAAGGCAGGCCTTTAAACCAAATCAATGTTTCTTTCTTTTTAAAAATGTCATAATTTTGCCCTCATCTCTGTCATGCCATGAAAACAGGTAAACAGTTGATCAAGATCATTGCCAGCCTAGAGTTTGGCAATAATTGCTATAAAGCAGGGGTTATTTTCCCAGAAGGCCTTGTGACCTGGAGCAGCTCAACCACCCAACCCCAGTCCACTGACCCTGGCAGGCCAACAAGGCAACACAAGTAAAGCACAGTGCAGATCCAGCTGTGCTCTTGACACGCAATTTTGGATTAAACGAAGATACAAATATGATCAACAAAAAGTCTTGAGCAAAGACAGAACAATTAACTATTGCTGTGATAAACTTCTCTCCAAGTTCTATCAAATGTAAGCAGATGAGGCACGTGTCCCACATGTACAACAAAATATACACATGGCATATTAAAATTAAAATGTGCTATATCTGGAATACATCTGAATCTGAAATGCTAAGCAGAGCACACGTGTATTCCCTAGGTAGTAGAGCTGTCCGGTGGAGAGAATTCCCAGCCGGTGGGAAGGAGGCCGGGATCTGGCCCTGACTTTGTCACTAAGTGGTTCTTAAGCCTGGGGCAAGTTGTTTAATTTTTCTGTGCTCAGTTTTCTCAGACATAATTAAGGGAGTTAGATTAAAATTATCTCTTAGGGCCAGTCCTGCTTGAAAATACTTAATCTAATACATAACAACATGTTCCCTCTCTCTGAGAATTTGTAAGGCCTCAGGGAATGAGAAGAATGGTATGCATCTTCTCAAAAGCTGACCACGGGCTATCCCTAAAGCACAGGGATTCTCACTTTGGGCTATTCAAAGGCATAACACCCACAATGCTGAACCAAAGAGCCAGAGGCACAACCCAATTGGCTCATAAATCAATATATGTGGACTTGAGCATCCATTGTGGGTCAACAAATGAGAGTAAAACTTCTCCAGCTACCCCCAGCTCCCTGGTCACCCTTGTCCCTCGAGTTAACACAGATACTTGCCATCGGTGGTAAAAAACTTCTCTTAGAGTGTTGACTCTGTGGCATGCATGTTACATGCATTACCTCTTTTAAACCTTAACACAATCCTGCAAGGTTGGTCAAAGTCTCTCCATAATACGGATAAGAAAACTGAGGCTCAGGTAGGTTAAGTACAGTCCAAGGTTACAATGTGAGGAGCAGGATTCCAGTGGAGGTCTCTTGGACTCTTAACATCTGCGCCCCTTCCTCATGTTCACCATATTGCATCCGTCACACCGCTGACATGCCCAAGAGACACATCAAAAACCCCAGGGCCCCTCAGACAAATGATCCCTGCATCCATCAGTGGTCGTGTCTGGTGAATTTCAGAGAGTCTCCCATTAGACTTTGACCTTGGAAAGCCAACTGCTTCCTCCTCTCTGACAGCTCTCCTTCCCAGGGAGACCAACAAGGCATTGAAGCACCCACCAGACTTTCTACCACATGAAGAGCCTCTGCATATAAAGCTGTAGGCAGACGGGCAGGCTTGGGGTGCACAGGGCAGTCATGGAACCTAGCTTTTCCAACTTTGATTAGTCTGGCATTTAATTCTAACCTGGTTTACTCAAACCAGCTGCTAAACACTTGCTATTCAAAGTGTGGTCCATGGATCAGCAACTTCCTGGTATCACCCAAGAGCCTGTTAGAAATGAGGAATCTCAGGCCCCATATCAGACACACTGAATCTGTGTACTAGCAAGATGCTTCCGGTGACTTGAACATGCATGCATGTTTCAAAAGCTCCATCCAAGAATCACTGATGGGGCTTTTTGAAAGTGTGAATTTCCAGGAACTACAGTCCAGGATTGTAGAAAAGGGGCTGAAGAAATATACAAGGAGGCCCCAAAAATGTGTATTTTATTTCAAAACTTGTTTTCTTTTGGTCCTCTGTCCTCAAGAAAAATCAAGTCCTTTCCAGCTTGATTCAAAGAACAACTTTGTTTTATGAACAGCTGTCCCTATAGCCGTAGGGCTATAGGCCAGTAGACACGCCCCCCCTCCCTAGAGGACATGCCAGTGTCTTCACACAGGCCCTCTCTTAGGCTGAGCCCCATCTTGCAGAAAATGCATGGAACAATTCTACATAAATCAGAGTGTTCCCTTCTGAGTCATTTCCCATCCCCCAATCCCATGTCTCCCAGTTCATAAGATTAGACCATCATCCCCATATCAATAGCAGAA